TCAGGCTTTCTATAGGACACTATTTTTTCAAGGTTGCAGTTACAGAATTTGCTTTAGGGCTACAACAAACCACAGACTGGTGGGGATGTTCCCCACAAGGTATGACTTGCAGCATTGGCTTCATAACTGAAACTTGCCAATTCTGTCTTTTTACAAAACATACAAAAAGCAGAGGGGTGTGGTCCCCTCCAAACTGGAGCCATTTTGCACAAAACTTCATGTAGACAAATTAATTAAATCTCCAAATTAATTTACTACAATTTTTACAATTCTTTCAAAGAAAGATGGTTAAACTTCTGAGCCCACAGAAGAAACTACAATTCTCACAACTCCTTTGAACGATTAAAAAATCCTTTAGACAATTTTCCCCCTCGGGGATAAAAATTAAGGTGAATCGAGAGGTCTTTGTTTTTACTAAGACACACACCTCTCCTCGATCCAGACCTACTTTAAAAGTTGACAACGGCTCTAGGTTGGTGGATATAATGAGAGCCTTTGACACTCTTAACAATCCATTTCTCTTATCTTCTGGACTTTCTCGGCAGTCCAGCTGTTCTTGGCTTTTTTTTGCAGACATTGCCGTTTTCAGTGTTGTACGCCCTGAAGACAGCACACTGATCCTTTCCCAGCCACTGTTTGGCTTGGGTCTCCCTTGCTGGGGAGAAAAAGCCTCTGCCACTTCCTTGTGGCCGATCCCGTCCCCTCTGTCCCGGGGGACCCCTTGGACTTTGCGGTTTTTCTTTCTCTGGCCTGAAAAAGGCTATCACCTTCGCCTTTCCTCCTTGTGCTCACTCTATTTACTACACACCGAATACTAGAGCCAGTCCCTGTCTTGCCACATTGTCCAAACAGCTCCTCCCTGCTCCAGTACTCCCGGCGGGCACGGCCGGCAGCACCACAGGCGGCCAGGGCGTCCCACAGCCTCAAAGGGCCAGCAGCTGCTGCTGCCCCTGCCCAGGGCCGGTGGGGTCAGGCACTGCCCAGTGCTGAGTCCCAGCAGCCTCACAGGCCCCCAGCCTGTGCTCCTGGTCCTGTACCTCCACTCCTGGTCCCTGCTTCAACCATATCTCTCCACACTCTCCATTAACCAATTCTGTTCCAGCACACTAACACAATCCATCCATCTCCTGCTGCCAAAGACTCTTTCTTGACTTCCTTTATTGCCCCCCCAGCCACCTTGGGCGTGGATTCTTGAGATCCCTTCTAGTTCCAGGCATTGATATGATATGCTGCTCCCTTCCCCCTACACCACTGTTGTTCTCAGGTGGAGCTGTAGGGACAGCACTTCCCTGATCCCTTTTCCCTGGAAGGTGAGGATACAGGGACCTGCAGCTGGCCTTAAGTCAGCTGGTACCACCGGAGGACAAGACGGGGGAAGGTGCGGAAAAACATTTTAATCTTCACTGTTTTCTTTTTCCCCACCCCCGTTTTTCCTCTTCTCCTTTTTTTTTTTTTTTATAGATTTCTTTTGTTGTTTGTTTAAACTATATCAATTCACATTCCCTTTTAATCTATTTTTTTTTTTCCCAATTCTCCTCTAGATACCTTCACAGAACTCAACACAAATGAATTCTGTTTTCTAAGGTGGCCATACAAGTCCATTTGGCATCTTATACTCTGGCCATACATAATAACAATATTTTACCATCATCTCCATAGTTACCTCTGTGTGAATGCATAATCTGTCCCAAGATCTCAGCATTCTCCCCAAGGGACTCTCCGGGGCTATTATGGGATCGTCATCCCTTTTGCCGAGACCCCTTCCCGGCTGTACCCTTGCAACCCTCCATGGGTGCTCTGTTTAGCCTGTGCTACCCTCCCTGGGTGCCCTCCCAGGCTTGCTCCCCGAAGATCCCATTTTACTCACCGGTGAGGTTTTCAGTGGTCCTTCCCTGTGGACTCTTCACGGACCCCCCTGGTCCGCCACTCGTCTGTCTCCTGGACAGTCTCGGGAACCCAATCGATCGCCCGGTGCTGGCCGCCACCGAGGGGAGCTGGCCACCAAAACTGGGTGAGGCGCCTTCAGCTGCACTCGCTGCCCGCTGCCCCGGATGGTGGAAATATCCCGGACAAGCCCCCAAAAATTGTCAGGAAAATTAATCCACGAACACCAGAGGTTTATGTCCAAAAAGGAGACAGAGGAGTCCTTTTTCTTTATTCGAATAAAGGGAGAGGCCATGGGGCATTCCCCTGGGGTCTCTCAAATTTTTGGAGGGCGCAGCCTCCTTTTTATCCTAATTCCCGGCCGCTTGTCCCTTCTCCCTTTCCCCATAGGCTGAGGTACTTGAGAGGTACAGGCTTCCCGGAACGCTTGATACCTGGGGTACCTTCCCCCCCCACCCCCAATGCATAATCCCTTCTTAACTTTTTGGAATTCATAGTGTTCTTTCAGTGCCTCTTTGATCTTCTACTGGAATCCATCTCATTGTTTCTGTTGTCTCTCACTGATAGCTACATCTTATCAACTGACCCACAGCTTGTTTGTAAAGACAAGCTCATCATTCCTCTCATCAGGATGGTGATACAAAGCTCTCTGTAGTGGGACCCATCTCAGTTCAGCACCTCGTCCAGCTCATTTGTTTTCCTGTACTTATTTCAACTGTAGTGCCTTTATGGAAATCATATTTTTAAGCTCATGAGGTAACATGGTTCATTTTATGGCTGAGAGAGCTTCAGAGGTTTTGCTGAAGGTCATGTCAGAAAACTTGTGACAGAGCTGGAGATGAGCTTGAATCTGTTGTGTCATTCTAAGGCAAAGCTCTCTCCTTCACTCTGTCCTTCTTTCATAAGGTCTTCTGTTGTCTGTTTACAAATGTACACAATTAAGAACCAAACTGCTGCAGCAGCATCACTTAATACTTAGACCTTGAACTTGGCTCAGAGAAGGGCTCTTATATAAGACAGGGAGGGAGAAGAAGGTGTGACAGTGAGCTTAGCATCAGACCGAGTTCAGCACTTGCCTGGACCTGATGCAACTCAGTATTAATTTTCTTTTTTTTCTTGAATTAAAAAAAATATTTCAAAACCTGAGCTACTTTAAAAGGTTGCTTTCATCAATATTAAATTTAGAAGTTATCCCTTGTGGGACAGTTACTGAGATTTTAAAGTAAAGCAAGCTTGATAATCTGTCAGGGAAATGGGGTTTTTGTTGGCTTGTAACCATGGCTTGTTGGGCAGAGATCTGTATGCATGGAGATTTTAACTGATGAGACCAGCCTGTGGAGCAGACAGTGGGATATACTGATATTATAGCCTTTTTTTTTTATTTTTTTTTTTTATTTTTTTGATTCACCTAAGATGTATTTTGCTTGAGGCTAAATTTGTCCTTTACTTTTTAAGTTATGACATGTATATTTTCAGATTGCAGTTTTACATTTTAGCTGAGCCTCTTAGGTCAGGAAAATAAAGGGATTTTTCTACAAGATAAGCTTGAGGCCTTCTTTTAAAATAGTTTTCTCAATATATTGGAGGGGTTTTGCTTCCTCTGTCTGTCCATTACTTGTTTTCCAGCAGCTGTAACGAAAAGAGCAGATATAGTTAGGTTTGTTGGGTAATTTTGCTCATTAACCTAGGTAAGACAATCAAGAATAGTAATATGCTATCTAAAACCCAAAAGAACAGGTTGTCAAGTCTTTGTCTTAAGAAAACCTTTCTTCACTGGAGTGTTACTGCAGAAATGTGGGGGTGTGCACCTATGGATAATGGAGCAGACTGTCCTAAGGAGTTTGGAGCAGTTCCCAACTTCTTGACTGAGGAGAGGCACTGAGGGAACAAAGCTCAGCTTGCTGACCCCTCAGGGTTTGTCAGCTTCCATCTCTGCCTGGAACAGCTTGGCTTTCTCACTGGGTGCAGGGGAGCTGGGCAACAGTGACCATTCCATCCCCTTACTCACACATATATTGTGAATTACTCTTTTAATACCTGGGCAATGAGTTGCACCTTTCATTTCAGGAATTATTAGGAGAGAGGTCTGGGGGCCACTTGATCTCTTGCATATCCAGGGAATCTTAACAGTTTGAATTGATAGGATAGCAATGTGTTCTCTGAAGTCCGTGTGATTCTTGCTGGTTCAGTTCCCAGTGGTACTAGAAGAAAAGGGCTAAGAAATATCAGCCGTGAAGGTGTAAAGCAGACACAGCCAGGCTTTCCTCAGCCATGACAAGGCAAGGGGAACACAGAGGTGACCTGCACATGGTCCTGGCCAGCTGGCCCTGGATAGCCCAGCTTGAGTGAGGGGCTGGACTAGACCGTGCCAGAGGCCCCTTTCAACCTGTGGAATGGAGATACTGATAATAATAGCTGATAATAACATGTTAGTCCTGGCATATGGCTAATGCAAATGGCTCTTATGAGAAAGGCTTTCTCTTATGAGAAAGGCAGCTCTGGATATTTTCATAATAAGAACCCTTTTAGATTATTTTTATATGGACATCATAAAAAGCAATTTAACTTCCCTTCTCACTGCTGATGTTTTTCCAGGTCTGCCCCATCTCCTACCTCAGGATCTCCATGAGACCTGTTCTGCTCACCCAGAACAAAGAGGCACGGCTGGCCCTGCCCCTGGGTGTGACACTGACATTTGCAGTCCATTTCCACGATAACTCTGGAGATACTTTCCATTCACACAATGCTGTGCTCAACTTTGCCATCAACAGGTGGGTGTCTGTCACAGGTGGTAATTACAGAGAGCAAAAAAAGGCCAGACACACTTAGAACAAAGACTGTTCCAGAGATACCAAGTGAAGATACAGCTTGGGCTGGGATTAGCAAACCAAGGGTTTTGTCTCTGCGGCCTTCAGAGGCAGTAGCAAGAAGAGTTCCAGTTAGCAAGCAATACTCCCTAGCCATGGAAAGCTGCCTAGATAAGCATGATCCCAGTAGGGCCTGCAGGAGCTGTACTGTGCTCTAAGTGACTCTGAATCATCCCCCTGCACACAGCAGTGGCCCAGAGAAACAACTGATCCATCAGCATCTGCCTCTCCCAGTGCTGTGTTCCACTGCCTCACTGAGGACTTATGTAAGGTGGGGAATATTCTGGATTAGGGGCTGTCTCCTCAGATAGGCTTGTGCAATCTTCCCACAGCAGGGACAAGCCTCAAAAAAGGCCTTTTGGTCAATGCCTCACAGAGTAAGTGTTGTGAAGCAGCCTCCTGTGGTCTTGAGTAAAATAACACTAATGCTGTTACTGCTGGCTTGTTTTCTGCAGAGCACCTTGCTGAACTTGGGTAAATACCAGAACTGGTAATCCAATGGCATTGTTACGTCTGGGAAGTTGCATGTTCATGATCAAATTTCTTGGCTTCCTAACTCCTTTGACAAAAGGGAAAAGAGACAGATGATGTCATTCTAAAGCTCTACAGTTCTCACAATTAAGAAGTAGTTTTCAAGCATAATTACGATCTTGGTATTTCCTCAGCATAGTGGTGAACTGAGAACTGAAATTTGCCTCAGTGGCACCTAAATAATTTTTATAATTTCCTTACTTTGCTGGACCATCAGATGATTGTTGCTGAAAACAAGTAGTCAGCTGTCTGAAGAGTATCTTGGAAAGATAATGACATTACCAAGCCTGCCTTGTTGCAGCAACACTTCTGTTTGTGTGCAGAGACGACTTTGTGCAGATCGCCAAGGGAGCCACCAACAGCACCTTTGTGGTCAGGACTGTGAACGTGGGGCTGACCCTGCTCAGGGTGTGGGATGCAGAGCACAGTGGCACTGCAGACTACATCCCGCTGCCTGTCCAACATGTCATCTTCCCAGAGCTCCCAGCTGTGGTGGTGGGGGATGTCCTGTGCCTGAGGACATCGCTGACATCCCAGGAAGGTGAGTGGCCTCCAACTGTGTGGGTTAGCAGCTGTTCCACAGGACACCAGTGTGGCTCTGGCTCACTCAGCAAAACTAAATACATCATTGATCATGTCTGTTCAGAATCAAATGTCACTGTTCTTGTTAATGATAAAAATAGGTTTGATCAACTCCTCTAATTTTAAAGGCACCATGCAATATATCTCTTGTATTGAATTCCTGAGTGTCACACTTCAGACATTTCTGTTCCATAAGCTGGAAAGGCTTGTTTCTGTGGGACTCATGCAGAGTCAGGACTGCCTTCAGTCACTGTGTTTGATGGTTGGTATTAATGGGTTTGTGTCAGAATAACTGCTGGGCAGTGGCACTCACAGACACCAGAGTGCCCAGGAAATGCTGCAGTTGGCAGCAGGGTGTTGAGCAGTGCCCCCTGGTGTTTTCCCGGCTTGCCAGGTGTGTGGAGCTCCTCCTCAAGTGCTCTTCTCGTGGACTCCAAGACTGGTGTGGCCCTGGCAAGGGACTCTGGGGTGGTCACTGTCTACTATGAGATCTCTGGGTTACTGAAAACCTACAGAGAGGTAAAGCACTGTTCCATTCCTACTTGAGGTTTGTATGTTTGAAATGGACCCTCACCATACTGTATTCTATAGGATTTTTTTTGTCGTTATAAATATTTAGAAATGTTCTTTTGGAAATGCAAGTGTTTGGGAAGTATTTGGATGTGTCCAAAAACATAATGTTTTTTTTAAACATCTGTGCTGAGGCGGAAAATGTAGCATAACAATTTTGGTTTTTCAATTCTACTGTTCTTGTATTGTATATTTTGATTCCTTTGTTGGCTAAGTTGTTTCCAGGTGCTGACCAGTTTTTGAGTATGGCTGCTGTTATGAATGAAGCTTCACTGCAGGATGAGATGTCAGCAAGAACTTGCTCATGTCTTGTGCCATGCATCACTGATCAGAAGTACTCCATTAAATTATTGTTTATCTGCAATGCAATTGTACTGTTGACATAATTCACTGCATCAGCCAGCATAAGCACTAGACATTCTTTTTAAATTAAATTTAGACATAGAGGTTTATGCGTATTAACTTCTGAGGATTGGGTAGGAAGACAAAATGTTTTTGCTAGCTTAAATTGCTTGGAAAGACAGTTTCCAATAATAGACAAATGTGTGATTTCAAAGAAAAGCATCACCTTGTGGAGTCTTTCACAACCAATCCAGTCTGGTTTTGCCTTAATTTTTATTTGTTGAAAGAGTTTTTTGGTAACAGTGCACTTCATCCCTTTTTCAGATCTTGATTAATGCACCTCAGAGGACCACAGCAATGCATGTCAGTGGCATGCAGACAAGTTTGCAGGGAGTGGCAGCCTCCAAAGTCATAGTTTCAATTGGGGAAACAAACAAAAATTTGAAAGGTATGATTAAAAATATTTATGCTGATAGTTTATTGTGTGTTTATGGATTCATGATGCTTTGGTTTGTATTATGGGGTTTTTGTTTGTTGTTTAAGGGTAACAAGATACCTAGGAGCCTCAAATGCCTTTCTAGAGTCCCAGGAGCTCTAGGAGCCATGGGACAGATTTTGGAAGGTGTTTGGGGCCACTGTTAATATTTCACAACTAATAAAATCAGTAGATTTCAATAGAAGTACCATTTTTGATCATATAAACAACAACTAATAGGAAGTCATCTAATTGCTTATATGTTTAATTGCAATTGTCTTCTTGGAGTTGTGTTTTCTTAGTTAGTTACCATCCTTAAATATTTTACAGAACTTACCACCAGTTAGAATTAATACAAAGATTAAGCATCATATTGTTTCCTCTACTTAATAAGCTGTATTTTGTGTGATTATAGATCCTTTTAGCTTCTAGCTTAACAATTAGCGCTTGTTCTAGTAGTATTTTATTTTGCTATATGTAAATTATTAACCTACCAAAAAATCATCTTGCCAGATATACTGAAATCTAACTCAAGGCTCCCAGGATTATATAAGTTATTCAGGAGACATTGGAGTAGAAAGTTCTCTCAGGCTTATTCTTTCCTGTAAATAAATTATTGCTGTCAAGAAAACCCCACAACATATAAAATTTTTGCTGCTGTCTCTTTGGGATTAGACCTGAGCAAGGACAGCTGTCTGATTTCCAACTGTTTTAAAATCTTCATAACCTTGCAAAACTATTTCAGAAGATGATAGAATAACCCAATACTACAAGCCCATGATTTTATTTTTAATTAATTTAAATAAATTAGTTAATTTTTTTTTTTTAACTAATTAGAGGTGGATTTTTTTCTTTCCCCCTAGGGGAGTGTTCACCAGCTCAGACTGAAGCCATTGCTGAGTTACAACCCCAGTCCATTATCAGTTGCCATCTCGATTTCAGTAGTGATGCCTTTGACTTCCCAGCACAGGATATTTTTGTGGCAGAACCTGGATTTGATGCAGTTTCAGGTAAGATGTAACAAGATGTCATGTTGCAGACAAGCACAAGCTCTTTGGTCCAGCAGATTCCACAGAATCCCACCATCATGGGCTGGGTTGGAGGGACCTTTAAAGCCCATCCAGTGCCACCTCTGCCATGGGCAGGGACACCTTCCACTGTCCCAGGCTGCTCCAAGCCCTGTCCAGCCTGGCCTTGGGCTCTTCCAGGGATCCAGGGGCAGCCACAGCTTCTCTGAGCACCCTGTGCCAGGGCCTGCCCACCCTCACAGGGCAGAATTTCTTCTTAACATACAATATAAACTTACTCTCTTTCCTTCTGAATCCTCTGGGCTTTGCTGTGTAGGACCTCAGGCCTCAGTGAGTTGTTCACGTGGACACTTCTTGTTTCAGTGGGTTTTCTGCCTGTGGCAAAATCTTGTGTTGGCTTTCAGAGAAAGCCAGACACCACTGACAGCCCACTTCATGTTTTTCAGAGTTTTTGTATTAAGTCAAAAAGCAAAGGAGCACTCAGGTGACAAGTATACCAAAAGTGGAATGTACCCCAGAACATCATGAACTGGGTCTTAAAACGGGGGAAAGATTCCTGGCACTCTGGAGGTGGAAATAAAATTGTCAAGTCTACAGAATGTGTTAATGTTTTGAAAGTATAACATGATTTAAAACAGGACCAAACCACCGTGGACTGTACATAAAGAACATTAATTATCTGTTAGAGTCATCCATGCGTCCATTGTGCAAACCCCTATTCTACCCTGCATATGCCTCTGTTACTTAGCTGGGTGAAGAAAATAACGGGAAAACATGCACCTGGCAAGTTTTCCTTGTTACTGATGCTTTTTTATCTTCCATTCTTTGGGAAGTTTTTACTACCTTTACTGTTAATAACAGATTAATTGGTCCCATATGAGACTAGAAACACAGTGAATATATCTTTTAAAGGAGCTTTTATAAATAAACTACATCTTCACAGACTTGAGGATGGTGGTGGCAACTGGCTAAAATTTTAACTCTAGTTGAAAATAATATGAGATAGGATATTCAGTCTTGTTTTCAGTAAAGCCTTTCAGTATTAGCATGAATGTTATTTTCAAAGTGGAACTGAATCTCAGTGGCCTATTAAAATGTGAGTGGAAGTTACCAGCATAGTGTTTTTTTCATGATGTTCAGTTTGGGAGAAGGAATAATTCTGTAGTTGTAGTGTTAGGATTGTGATGTTCGACTCAACAGACACACTGTCCCAGTCCATCTGTGCATCCCTTATCATGCTTCTTGCTGAGCTTTACCACCTTTTTTAGCTTTTCTCTGAAGATGTCCCAGCAATCTCGTTGTGCATGGAGAAGAAGGTGAGTAGTTAACAGCCCAAACTCTCTTGTTCCTGCAGGACACTACACGTGCTCCATCAGGATGCACAGCCTCTCTGACAAGCAGCTGAAGCACCTGAGCAGGAGCAAAGCCACGCTGAGGGTGACAGCTGCAGTGCAGGGCAGTGCCATGGCTGGGGAGCAGCTGGGCACAGAGGTGCCCTTCAACCACTGGTTCTATGCTGATCAGGCTGAAATGCTGCTCAGCAACCAGGACATGAGCTCCATCCTGAAAATCTTTGGAGTCAGTGAAATTCTGGATAGCCTGGAGGTAAGAGTGTTCCCAGGAAGTACCTCAGCACAGCTGGAAGCATGTTGAACTGTCACATGCAGCTTTCTAGTGCAAGGCACTCCCTGCCGTCCTTACTACATCAAGATTTGTTCCTGAGATGATTTGGAAATGCTTGTCTTAGAACATGTTCTTTATCAGTTTTCACTTTTCACAGGATCCTGGAATGATTTGGGTTGGCAGGGACCCTAAAGCTCATCCTGTTTCAATGCATTGCCATGGGACACCACTCACTCACTGGCTTGCTCAGGGGCCCATCCAGCCTGGCCCTGGGGTTCTGGGGTACAGATGTGTCAGGCTCACCTGGGCCTGCAGCCTGGCATGTGTGAACCAGCTTGTGGGTCAGGAAGCAGAAAATTGCCTGACCTCTGTGGCAGAGGGAGTTACATGACTGAATGCCCATAGCTCCCACAGCCCAGTAAGGGTCCATGGATTTTGGCTATGTGGGGTTAGCCCAGACCTGTGGAAAGGCCAGGTGAGGGTGGGCACCCTTGGCAATAGGCAGAAGGAAATGCTGCAGGTGTCAGTGTAAAGGTACACCTGACTCCTCTAGAGGGGTGAATTGCTCTGTGTTTCTGTAGAATCACCCATTGCTGGCACCTGGCCTGGAAGGTGGAGATGTGCTGGGCTGTCCCAGGCAGTCTGGTTCAGGTTGGATGTTTCCTGTGCAGGTGAAATGTGAGTCCCCAGCAGTGAAGGTACTGGAGAAGGAGAAGTACTACGGGCTGCCCAGCTATGTGGTGTACACTGTGAGCCTGGCTGATCCCAGAGTTCCCAGCCAGGGCTCCCTGTCCACCACTCTGACTGTCTCCAGTCCCATGACAGACCAGTCCATCACCATCCCAGTGACAGTGATCTACCTGACTGACAGAACCACTGCACCCATGAGATGTAAGTTTAGCACTCTAAATACCAGAAAAAACCTTTAGCTTCTCTGATGTTTATGAAGTTAACTCTTTAAGCAGACTGGAGAAGATACTCTTTTTAACTCAATATTTCCTCCTCTTAATCAATTCTACAGATGAAGCTGGTCTCTTCCAGCAGTTTGTTGAGTCTTACCAGGTGATGATCTTCACTCTTTTGGCACTGTTAGCAGGGACAGCTGCTATGATTATAGGTAAGAGAAGGAAAGATTGCACGAGTATTTTTTTTCCATAGCTTCTTACAATGTGTTAGCTGTAATATAAAAAGGAATGATTGCCATCTGAAATGATTTTGGTTTGTTTCTCAACTGTCTTGCAGCCTACCATGCATTTTTCTCACCGAATGAACAGCACAATCAGCCAGTATTCCACCCAAGGGCAAATCTTCAGCACACGGCTAACAGTAAGCAACTGCCACCCAGTTATGAGTGAATTAATTGATTATTCTGGCCATTGCACTGGAATTGAATGTCTATAATCAAGAGTGGCAATGAAAAATAATTCACATTCTTACCAGGTGTGTTTAAGTTACAGTGAACTGCAGGCCTGGTTGTAAACACAAGTGCCTGGTGCTTCAGATAGAATAAGGCAAATTTAAGTGAACATCACTTGCTGAGGGGAAATGTGTTGTGTCCCCCTCAGACTTAAAAAGTCCTGAACAGGAAGACCCACAAACTTTTGATATTTGCAGGATACCTTTTCAAGAGGCGCTTGAAGCTCTGGGGGTGAATTCAAGCTAAAGGGATGATTTCACTTTGAATGGATCATCAGATTCATTGAACACTGCCAGTGTTCAGCAGACGATTGAGAGCAGATGCTTGTTTGTTCCTTCTCCCACCATTCCCGAGCCTGATTGTTGTGCTCTCCTTGCCATTTCAGATTCCACTGCGTCACCTGAACATTCCTTGAGCTCCCAGGCCTCCAGCAGGCAGCCGAGCCCCTCAGCCATGCTCTGGAGCACAGGTTACGCCTCTCGGTAGAGACAGCACAACTCCTCCTCGTGCCAGCAAATAAAAATAAATACACAACTCAGTGCCTTAGCAAGCTCAGCACCTTTAGCAGTCGGGAGGCAATTCAAGTTTTCTCTGGAATACAACTAGGTCCTTAATTAATTTATTTTTTCTAATATTTAGGGTTCTTTGATTTTCATTTTTTATGTCAGTGATTCAATTCTCAAAAGCTTGTTTTATCTGTTGTTTTTTGCTGCCTGCACAAAAGTCAGTGTTTATGCTAATCTGGCTTTCTTGCACTCTTCAAGCAACTAGAAGTTGTATCTAAGTTAGAGTGATAACAATTTTTTATTTACCTTTTGTAAAAATTAGATTTCTTTTTAGTGAGCTTTTTTAAGAAAAGGGAAATTAAAGAAACAAATGAAATATGAGCCAAAAATTTGAAGGATTTTATATTTCAAAGAACTTGTTTTTATTTTGTGTTCCAACAACTCAGGAATGTATTGCACTGATAAGTGTTCTTATGTTTAGCCTTACACTGGGATTCATCAGCACAATATGCTGGTTTAGCATGAGGAATGCTGGAACAACTGTGAATAATTTGGGATTATTTTACAACAACAATTAAAGAAGCAGGTTAAAAAAGGAAGCCAGAACTTAGTGTGGCTTCCTTGGGGTACACCTGCAGTATTCCTTGGTACTGTAAGCACTTTTCTGAACTGGGAATGTGAAAGCATGTGCCTTCTAAGTGGATCTTTCCAGTCAAAATCCTTTATTTTGAGGATATAATCACATCCCAGTCACTTTTATTTGTAAGCGTGGTTTTGCAGCTATCAGATAAGGGTTTTGTTTACATACAACAAGCATCCCAGTTTCAACTGTGAGTAATATTTTGGCTGTCTGAACTTTCCTAAGGACCATAAGGAAAGTGAAATAATGAAATACTTCATGAAAAATACTTTGTGTGCAGAACTATGCAGGCAGATAGATGAATGGAATGCAGACCCAGTGCATGGCGTAGAGGTATGGTTTCACACAGTGTTAACAACAAAAGGATTGTTACATGTAATTGTGTTGAGTCTTGTTTAACTTGTTGGCTACTTTTGGAGAAATTGTGCCTTAAGTGCTAGTACTACTTCAAAAGGTCAGTTTGGATGTAGATAATAATTTGAATCTGTATTAAAACATTTTCATACTCCTTTATTTTGAATTTTCTTGTGGTTTGGCTGTTCAGAATCTAGTACTGAACTATATTATTTTAATCTGAATTATTTAATAAAGCTTTCAAAGATTCTTTTACTTTGCTGTTGATGAATTTTCTATGGTTTGGCAATTTAGAATTTAGCACTGGGCTGCTGTTTGAACTTCACTTCCTATAGCCCCTCAGTGTTTGCAAGCATGATTTTCTAATCTTAATTTTCACTTTTGTTAACAATGTAATGTTTTTTAAATACTTTGGCAATTGTTCAACAGGTATTTGTTGTCAGGGATTTCTCCCAGCATCTTCAGTTCCTGCTGAAATCAGTGATGACTGTAGAAGCAGCTCTTAATTTTCTAGGTTTGTTCAAACTTCCCATTTTGTTCATTTGGGTTTTAAAGGAAAGATGGATTCTTTTTTCCACTTCCATTCAGCAAGAAACCAAAGGGCTATGAATATCTCAGTGCTACTATGATAAACTCTTCAGAAATGATTGAAGGAAAGATTTTGCTCTCCTGTTGCTTCTTTCTCACTCAGAAGTGTGGCAGTGAGTGTTCTGCAAAACAAACTGCTTCAAGTGGTGGGAGTGCTTTGGCAAATGCTCGCTGTTATTTCATTTCTTTAGGCAAGTAGTTTTGCAGTCTCCTGGCAAGAAAAAAAAAAAAAGTATGAAGTAGGGAACTGGTATGACTCAGGAGCCAACTTCCTGCAAGCAATAACCAGGCTTTTGCCTTGAGGAGCTCATCTGGGCTTAGGGGTTATTCCTGGGTCCAGGGGAACTTTGGGGATATAAATTTTTCTGAGCATGTTTCTGCCAATGTAAAGGTCATTTTTAAATTTTTTTTTCTTAATTGACTGAGAAGAGATTTGGAGTTTTGCATTTAATGCTGAATTTTCCCCCTGTTCACTTACTGCTTATTCCTGTTTGCCCTCTTGAGAGGGAGAAGGGCTGCCGGGAATGTTTCTGTTCCAAGGTCCAGGTCTTACATGAGTTGAAATGTGAGTTTTTCAGGTACCCAAGCAGTGCCAGCTCAGGCCCAAGCCCCGGTCCCTTCCCATCCAGCAGCAGATTTGGTGTGTGCCAGCAACAGCAGGTTCATCACCTTGTGCCGGTACAGGGACGAGAGGTTTTTGTTTTAAAAAATAAAAGAAGCAAACCCAAGAAGTGAGTAGTGAAATCACTGAGCCAATGCCCTGGGCTGTCCTCACAGCCATTATTAGCAAAGCTAGGTTAATAATACAACATTCTAAACACAGCCTAATATTTATTTGTCCATCTACCCCCCTTTAAAAAGCAAGTCAGGTGATGAATAAAACACTGCACACACCTTTTTAGCAAAGAGTTCTTTTTGATGAGCAGCCAGGATTATGGTGTGGTGCTTCAGGGGAAGGTTTTCCTGGCAGCATGTTAGCTGCCTGTGAAGGATCAAAGTTTTACAGGTGTTAATCCAGCAGCCTCTTGGCTAACCCTTGCATTTGCTCAAGGATAAAGGCATCCTTATCCTCCCATTTGGTTGTTGATTTTGGCATTCATGAGGATATGTCAGTCATTAATGAACATTCTCAGACAATTTCTTAGTACTGGGGAATTTCCCCATCCCAGTTTCCCCAGTTAGAGACACAGCTGTGCTGCCTTGCCTGCACCTGTGTTAGGCTGTGTCTTGTGTCCCAGGCAATCCTCCCCAGTGTAGGAGCTCTCCTTGGAGGAGCCCTGGAAATAGATAGTGTTTGGTTAACAGGCAAGGTACATGCTCTTCAGTGAATTCCTCTTTTTATGAATGTTGGTTTTTGGTTTTTTTCTGGTAATGCAACTAGAGGTACTGTTCTTATGATTCTGTGTTAGGCTGTGTAGTATTGGTGATTTGATTAAAACCATTACTTTTCAGCTGTTTCTTCCTTGTATCAGTTTCGAGTTTAGGGTTACAGCTGGCCTTAAACTCCAGGTGTCTTCACACCACAGCCCCTGTGCTCTCATAGGAAATGCATCAATTTCTAAGCTGGAAAGAAAGGCATTTAGCAAGTGATGACTATCTGACATAAAGTCTTTGGGTGATATTAAATACTCCAATTTTTATTTGTTTTATTGGAAAAACTGAAAAACCTCTGCTTTATTTTCAGTTTGAATAAAGCTGGGTTCACTTTTCATCTGTCAACTTCAGTGAGACAACTTCTCTGTGTAAATTAGGCATGCAGTTTCCTAGGACCTTCTCTTGAAGCTTGCAAAACTAAAACAAGAATGGGAAACTAATTGTTCTCCTTGATTCATATTTATCACCATTGCATTGAGCTGTAGATGTACCAACAGTAAGCTGCTTTCCATATCTTCCCTCATACCACTTGTCCTTTCCAGAGGACAGCTCTCCAGAGCTGTTTTTATCCCAGGTGCTGTTTACATCTGCAAGTGGCCTGCTCCAGAGCTTTGTGTATTAATAAACTCTTTCCTTCAACTCTACCATCTTCACCCCTCAGCACAGCCTCGTGTTGCTTTGCTCTGTGTGCTGCCTCCCTCTCAGTGCTTTGCCATAATCACCAAGCAGATTGGGAACTATAGTTGCTGTTTTCCACAGAGCAGATGTTGTGTACATGTTTATAATTCACCCAGTCATTCATTTTTCTCTTCTCACTTCTTACTTGCCATGTTGTGCTTTAAAGTGCTGTTCCAATTCTGCTCAGTTCAAAGCTTTACCTCAGGCATTACTTTTGCATTTAGAATAAATAAATCTACTTTGAGCTGCTGTGCTTATGGATATGCCAGGGTCTCATTTGCAACCTTTTGTTCATTTTTAAATTTTATTTCCATGCAAGCCAGTGCCCACCTAAGACATCCTTTCACGCTTTAGGTGGGAAAGCACCACAAAACCTCACTGGAGAGTCAGACCAGAAATCCCTGCAGTGGAGAACTTGAGGCTGCCTGTGCCAAGGGCAGCCCTAGTAAATAATTGTAGGCCAACATGTGCTAGTATCTTACAGTGCTAATGTTTAAATCAAACAAAAGCAGTATTGTCTAGATAAAATCTGGTGGTTGAAATTCAGTTTACTGATCAACAAGCTTGGAAGTTCTGAAACTAGTTTTAAATAATTGTTTTGTTTCACATGTATTCATTTGTGAGAGAGACAAGAGGTAGGAGATGTTTTTTTGTCTTTTGTGGCATATGGTTCACTTAGAAAATAAAGTTCTGAGAACCTCTTAAGTAGTAGGAATAACAAAATAGTGAAAATTGTCATGTTTTATCCAAAAGGAAGGGGAAAAAGTAATTTTCCAAAGTAATAGCTTGCAACTTGACAGCATGAGTCACTTGTGTTATTATGAGTGAATCATAAATAGAAGAGTCACCAATAGAGTTATTTTTCAAAACGTATAAAGATAACAAAGACATTCCATCTCTGAAAATGTTGCTAAGAAGGTACCAGGCCATCAAACAGGCTAAGTTTATTTTAAATCCTCACTCACTAAAAGTGCTTTCTTACTGTCTCTTTTGTAAAAATAAAGGAAAAGGCTGCTTTCAATTATCTTTTTCTATAAAAGTCAATTAGCCTGTCTTTAGTGGAAGCTGGGTCAAACCTCTCCTTAGAAGAATATGAAGAATCCTGGAGTTTCAGTATTATGTCTGAACTCTCCTGCCACATGCAGTTTGGTCAAGTCACCAAACAGCCAATAAAGCTGGTTTGGCCTCAGTACTTTATCATGGCTCCTATGTATGTTTATCTTTTCAGACTTTCTTTCCTCATGCCTCCCTCGTTATCTTTGGATCTGAAGCTGTGGCCATGTCCTGGTGGATATTTGGGGGTTTGTTCATTTGCTAGATTAATATTTCATTTCATGCTGGGTTAAGACTGGCCAATAGAAATAAATAGCCTTTGATTCTAGCACAATTAAGGATCTCTTGTGAAGAAAAAAGAACTTTGTTTTCCTGAGCATCTGCCCCCAGCTGGTGCATTCTCTCTGCCAGCTGGTTCTTGCATGGGAGGAAAATTAATAAAATTGCCAAACAAAGAAGTATTTTCGGCAAGTACACAAACATTGAAGGCTGAACATCCTCCTTGCAATGCCAGAAGTGGATTTCAAATAAACAGCTGAACTGAAGGATTATTTTGATAGTGTTGTGGAAATATTGGTCTACTGGAGATGTTTAAAGGTCAGCTGGAGTGTTTTGTGGGGGTTGCTGGTTTTGTTGGTGTTACTGGGTTTTTTTGGTGTCTGACTCCTTAGTTCTGGGC